CACTTTTTATAGTTAGGTTGCTTATCCATTTAGAACTTATTGTGGTATTTGCTATACAATGCTGGTCTAAGCCTATATTTTGTCACTGCTTCCTAGCATTCTCTGCAGTTGTTGGGCTATCTGAGATAACAATTTATATTTATTTTAATAAACTGTGCAAAACTAAAATTTTTAAAATCAGACTGCAAAATTTTATACATACACACACACACACACACACACACGCATATATATATTATTCTATTAGGTAACACCTATCACTAATTTTAAGTCACATGGATTTCTCACAAACCGAACGACTTGAAATTTCCAACATATGTAGAGTAAGCAGGTCAATACAGAACATGAAAAGATATAAAAGTTTAACAAATTAACCATCACAATAGATCTCTCACTATTTTTATATACTCTTTCTTTAATATACCAAGTAGAAATTTTATGTGTTTAAGGCCACAGAATGCAAGTGTAGTTATGTTTTGTTCCAAAAAATTGAGTATGAATGGATTTTTTTAACCTATGTATATATAAATGATTTTATTAAAAGAAAGAGTACTTTGTCCAAGCAACATAAAAATCAATTAGCTCATTTCCATATCATCATGGCAAACACTTTGTCAAAACACACCTTTATTGATCAAGATAAAATTCAGAGAAGCTGACTGCTTGACAAAATTTAAAGGCTTGGTCAACTCTTAAAAAACCTTTTGAAAATGAGCTTTTCTTAAATTGAAATGAAATTATTTGGAGTCTAAATAGATTTATTTAAAAGCAAACAGTTAATTTCTGATTATTTCAGAACATATTATATTGATGCCAGATTCACTGTGTGTTTGGCTCCATCCAGAGGCTGTATTCTCTGACTCTGGGGTTATCTGGAAGGCTGGTCTTTGGTTTTTCATACATGCCTAAATGACAATTCTTTTTCATTTGATGCCTTTAAAGCAACATGTCAGGTCTAGGGTGAAAGGGATAGCAAACAGTTACAGGATTTCATACTTTAGGCTACCCAAGTGATTTGATTACAAAGTCTTTCCAACTTCTTCAGCTTAAAGCAAAGTGATACTCCAAAATGGGAGGGGAAATAATGTGAAACTCTAACTCATCCCTAAAATGGTAAGAAATCTTAACTCAAAGGTGAGTTGCTAAATCATTCACTGTCTAGAAACCTACTCTTGGAGAATCTGGTAAGAAGGAATGACATCTGACCCTCATCATTATTGCAATAGTATTTTAATTAGTCTCCCTGCCTTATGCTTTCTCTTCACTCCAATCTATCCTCTACATAGTTGCCAAAGTGATTTACCTAAAGCATAGGTATGACTAAGTCACCCTCATTCAATTAAGGTAATTCTGCATTCTCTTCTCCCTCCTACTTTAGATGCAATAATGTGTCTAACTCAGTTTTTTAGGTTCTTAGAGGAATGTCATGTATTTTGCCAACAAATTTGGCATTTTCTGTGCCAAATCATTTAGATAATAAATTGTTAATCACAAAAACATATTATCACTCACCCCTCACAAATCTTCAGTGGCCCCCTATCGTTTCTAGGATAAAATATAAAAGCCTTAGGCTGCAGCCTTCCACAAGAAGGCTTCTATCTACCTTTACAATCTTACTTCTTATTACCTCCCTCCATGGGGGAAAGAGGGGTATGAACTTTCTTTTTCTAAGCGTGACATTTTATCCAAACTATACTTTAACACAAATGATGCCCCATGTCTGAAATGAATTCCCTCCTCCTCTTCCTCTCTGCTTGGAAAAACCCTAGCTTTTTTTCAAAGTGCAGCTCAAGTATGTCACTACTTTCCAGTAAAATGTAAATTCTTTGAGAATGAAGGAATGTCTCATATGTATATTTGTATCAGGGTCTAACACAATGCCTAAGCCAGAGTAAACACTTAAATAATTTTTACTAGCTTGATTTGCTAATTTTCTTAGTTATTAGCATTCTCTTTACTGAAATCTTTCTCTGTCTTCCCACCCCCATTTTGTACAGATACAGTAGAATGGAAGCTTCCTGAAGATTGGGATGAATTCAATATTGTCTTTGTATTCCAACACTTGAAATATACCTAGCACACAATATAAGTGGCTAAAGTTTGGTGGATTCAACCGAATTCTCCAAGTACCTTAAATAATCAGAAATGGCTATATGACTATATGTGTGTATGCATGCAGATACATACATACCAATTCACTAATTACTTAGATAAATAAGCATTTAGACTCCTTTTTCCTTATAGTTCTCAATATGCTCACAAGGCATTCTTATCATGAGTGATGATCTTGTACTAATGAGGGAAAACTTGGAAAATATGGCAGTAATTAACGTAAGACAAATGTTATAACTTACATAGGTAGAAAGACATTTTTAGGTATATAAGAATTTATAATTCTTTATCACCTACAAATAAAGTACAAATGAGACCTTACAGTCACAGAGAAGACGCTAGGCTATTTATGTTTTTTAATAGACTCTCTTGCATGTGGTTAGCTAGTCGGCAACAGAACCATGGCAACAGGAAATTCTTTCCCGCAGTGGAGTTTATGAATGCTTTTCTGTTTTCATGACTCGTCCTTATTTAATTTCCTGTACAGTAAGCCTGTGAGATAACTCTTGACTGCAATGCGGATGGGCTCTTCCAAAGACTCATTCAAAGAAAGGCAGGTCAAAGGCCTTTAGCTCGAATATTTTATAATTAGACTGAAAAGTTGACTGCAAGAGGATGGACAGTAGCAGTAAATATACCACGTCTACCTACTTATCCTCATTCGTTCCTTTTTTAGGCAAGACTGTGCACATTTGCTTTATAGAGCAACCAGTCGAAAAATGACCTTATGGCCCCCATTTTTGAATCAATACACTTACTTGGCAAATTCAGAAATACAACTGCAAGAATTGTTTTCATTGAAGCAGAGGTGAGATGGACAACAACTGATGGCTTCTACTCGTGTCTAGGGACAAACGTGGCCTCATAGGATAGTGGAAGAAGAAAACTAGACTTTTTGCCAAAGATTGCAGCGTCATGGACAAAAGACTGAGGGCTACAGGGGCACAGGTTGTTTTCTTACTGCAGCTCCCTGGAGTCAAGAGATGCAGAAGAGAAAACTGATCTGAGAAATGAACAACTTAAGAAGATAGTGTTTGAGAATGGGAAATGGATTTTTCATCCAGTTTAAACTACAGAGATGACAGACTGCTGGATATTGATAAGCATGCACCAAACCAAGGCTAGTAAGAAGGTATTCAGAGGTACCTTAGAAGTTCCATCAAAAGGACTTTAAAATAAAGAGGATGGAAAGGAGAGAAAACTACTTATTTAGATCCACAAAGGTTGATATTAGAGAGAGTAACTGCACTGAAAAAAAAAATACTAATTTGATCTTGGGATGTATCAAGAGGAATAAGGAATAAAGAGTTGATGGTCCCTCTATACTCTGTCCTATATTAAGACCATGTATAGAGGATCGTACTTAGTTCTGGATGTCAGAGTTTACAAAAGACATTGACAAGGTAGAGAAGACCCAGAAGAAGAAAATCAGGATAACAAAGGGCACTGCATCCATGTCCTGTGAGAACAGATTGGAGGAACTGAGGATGCATAACCGGAAGAAGATGAGACTTGGCTGTGGCATGCATGGTAGCTTTCTTCAAATATTAGAAGGCCTAAACTATGGAAGAGAGATTAGATTTGTTCAGCTTGGCCTTAAAGGAAAAAGTAAGGAACAGTGGTTGGAAGTGCACCAAGGAGGTAAATTTAGGCTTGACGTCAGGAAAAACTTCCTAACAATTATGAAGTCCACAAATGTACTACCTAACAAGACAACAGTTTTCCCCTCAGTGGAGGTTTTCCAGAAGAAACTGGGTGACCATTTGTCAGACGTGATGAGGTAACATTCTTGTGAACGGTCAGAATAGATGGCCACTGTAGTACCTACCTCTTCTAAAATTCTCTAATTCTTTGGTGATAATTTCGAGAAGAAAAAGCTGAAGAAAAAAATTCAATATAAAGAAGTAAATAGAAAAAATAATGTAAAAGTTGACTACATAGGCAAACACCAGGACTGAGAAATTAAAGGTTAAAAATTCAACCAACCACAACCAATCACATTATTTCATGTACATTTCTACTGCTGATCCATGCACAGCTGTCCATTGAATATTCAGTAAAACCTGTTAACCTGCTTTTGACAACCACAGGCATATTAACATTTTGTTTTTTAAGTAAATGCTGAACTAGATGACACCTCAGGTCTTTTAAGAGTTGAGGAAATTCCATTCCCTAACTGATGTTGCTCTTCACCCTCTGACCCCTAGCATTTCCTGATCTAAGTGGTAAATCCAATTAGTATGTTTACACAATAAAATACACATAAATAATCATAGAAGGGTGGCTTAAGCATATTTTAGTTAGACTATAAAACTGTAGGGAACCTTTACGCATATTTTGCCATGTAATTTTTCTACTGAGTACTATTTAACGGTTCTTTATTACTTAGAGAATACAATTCAAACTCATTTGTCACTCAGGGTCCTCCACAATCTGGGGACTCCCCACACTTTAAGCATCCCCTAATGTTATTCCATTCACATATTTTATACTCCAGTAAAATTGTACTACTGACCTGCATTCTCCCGCTTCCATGCATTTGCTAAATCATTTCATAGGCCCATAAAGCCCTCTCTCACTTCTCTTTCAAATTTCTTTTAAACATTTAAAGGGAAAATTTTTAAAAGTAAAACCAATCTCAAATTTGACTTCCTCTTCCAAGGATCAACAGTTAGTAACGACCTTTCTCTCTCAATACCCCTGCATCTCACATTTTTGTTTATACTTCTTTTATATGCATTCTGTATATTATGTAATAGAATTAATTATGTGTGAAAGCTGGGTACCATATATTATCTAAATTTTGTGCCTCCTCCCTCCTCAAGGGCTTCCATTACGCTTTATATACAGTATGCACTTAATGCTTATGAAATCAGACCATCTCTTACTTTTGGTATCAAGTTGAGCACGATACTTCTCGAATCCCTTGAGACGAACTCGTTCTCCTAAGAGCTGGAGGAATTCCTCAAACGCAGGACCCGCCGACTCGTTGTTGTACATCTCTTCTTCGGTGCTCTGTCCAGATTTACAATACATGATTCCCACTTTCAACTGATAGCTTAACTGCGAAAACAGGTAACACCAAGCATTTCAATAAATGCAGGGCCCATTCTATTCCATTTGTTATTTTTACTTAACCAGTTCCTTAGGAAAAAATGCCTAGAAAATAAATAGCTGACAAAATATGTCTTTTTTTTCTGAGTACTTCCACATTGTTTTTCAATTTTCGCACCCAATAAAGGTAGCACAGGTCTTATTTACTGGGGCTATGAATTTCAAATGTATCAGTAGTTGTCTTCATGTATTACAGAAATGACTAGAAAAAGAAATTAAAACTGTCTGGATGTCAAAAGTATGCATCACTAGAATAGATGTTGGCACTTTAGGGAGATTCCAGCTAATGGTTTACAGGCAAGCATCAACAAAGAACAGTTATACAAAGCAGGTTTATAACAGAAGGGGGTGTGTGTGTGTGTGTGTGTGTGTGTGTGTGTGTGTGTGTGTTCTCTCCATAAGGATTTTGGGTGGAGCGGGGTGATGGTGGGAGAGATGGTAGATTTTCAAAAGTAAAGCCCATTTTGCAAAAAGGAACCTTGAAATGAAAGGAAATATTCATTCCTAACAATTTCACCAGCTCCTTTCCACTTTCGAAATACAAAAGGATTCACTTTCCCACATATTCAATGATGAAATTGTTGGGGCACCAATATGCTGCTTAATATCAGCACAAATGATTGAGTCCTATTTCCCCCAAAGGTCAATTGCCAGATGAAGTTTTTAAATAAAATAATTACTTGTCAAAGAACAAGCATTTTAAAAAAATTAAGCATCTAATTTTAACCTGTGCTGCTTTTTATCAAAGCCTTTTGTTTTTACATCATTCATTTCCAAAAATAACTCCTCCTTTCCCTACCCAGCTAAGTCTTCCTTTGTAACAAAGATTTAAAAAGGGAAAAAAAAAAAAACCAGTTCAGGAAAACCAACAAATTAACCTTCTCTGACAATATGTACAATATTCATCAACAACCACAGTCCCCTACTTTTGAAGGAATAGGGTAAGATATATTTTCTCAACTATTCTCTGGGGTCAAGACTGGTCAGTGTAATTATCTAGTGTTTGGCTTTGTTTTATTGTCCTTTTCATTTCATCTGTCTTCCCATGTTTCTCTGCATTCTTCATATTAATTGTTACTTAAAGCACAATAACAGTCCGTGAAATTCACTATCACAATTTGTTTAACCACTATCCAACTGATGGATAACCATTAATTTCTAGTTGTTTGCAACTGAAAGAAGCACTGAAATTAATATTGTGGCACACATAGGACCATTCTATTTCTTGATATACCTATTTCTATTCCTTGCTATATATGACTAGAAGAAGGAACTCTGGATCATTCAATGTGAACATTAGTCTTTTGTGTGTGTGGGGCGGGGGGGGAAGCAATTCTTATTACTTTCCAAAATCACAGAACCTATTTACAGTTCTACCCACAATATATTAGTGTTCCTACCTTCCCATAGCACCTGTAACATTCTTTCCATCTTTCGTAATTTTGCCAATCTGTTCAAAGTGAGGTGAAATTCCAAAATTGTTTTGATTCGTATTTCTCTTATTAAGGACCTGCAGCAATCTTTCATGCAGCTGTGTCATATCCTTTAACCACTTATCCACTAGGCAATGTACATTTTTGTTAATTATTTCTATACCTTGGAGACAACTCTTTTATTCCTCCCTAATTGATTCCCCATCTCACTTTCCACAGATTTTCCTCTCTGAAGCCTCCTGTACTTCTTCCTCTCTCTTCTTTCTCTGAAGACTTGACCTTTTACTTTATAGAGCTTTCTTATTTTCCTTCTCTTCTTGATATCACTCCTCCATTCTTCTCCTTTTCCCCAATCTCTGGCAGTGAAGTTCCCCTTTTTCTTAACAAGGCCAAATCTCTACTTGTACTCTTCCTCTCATCTCCTCCTGTAGTCTCCAGCAAATTCCAACTCCAATTATTTCCTCTCTCCTTAATTTTCAACCTCTCCCTATCTACTGGTACCTTCTATATTGCCTTCACGCATGCTCAAGTCTTCCCTCTTCCTTAAAATACACCCTTTATTAGACCTTATCATCCCCTTAGATATCACTTCAGCCAAAATCCTAGAAACAGCTGTCCTCATACACTGGCTCCATTTCTTCTCCTCTCACTCATTCTCAACCCTCTGAAATCTGGCTTCTGTCCTTAAAACTCAAATGAAACTGCTCTCTCCAAAGTTATCAGAGGTCTCACTTGCCAAATCTGAAGGTCTTTTGCTCAGTTCTCATTCTTCTTGATTTATTGACTGAATTTGGCATTGCTGTCCACCCCCTCCCCTCTTGGATATTTTCTTCTTTCTGGGTTTTTGTGACATTAATCTTCTGGTACTCATCCAACCCAAATAACCCCTCTTCCTCAATCTTCTTTGCTGGTTTATCATCCATATCATGCCTACTGACTGTGGGTCTTCCATAAGGCTATCTTCTGGGCCCTCTTCTCTTCCCTTTCTATACACTGTTTTTTGGTGATCTCCTTAGCTCCCATGGGTTTAATTATAACTCTATACAGCTAATTTTCAGATTTTTATATCACTTACTGGTCTCCCCTGAAGCTCTAGTCCCACATCACCAGCTGCATATTAGAAATTTCAAATTAAGGTCCCATAGGCATTTCAAATCCTACATGTCCAAAACAGACTTTTTGTCTTTCTCACCAAACCTTTCCTTCTTCCAAATTTCCAGTAGTGTCCAAGGCACCCCTGTTTTTCCAGTTTCTCAGGTTTGTAACCTCAGCATTACCCTTGACTCCTTACCCTCCCTCACTACAAACACCGGTTGCCAAGTCTTGCTGTTTCTACCTCCATAACATTTCCTAAATTTGATCCCTTTTCTCCATTCACATGTTACCACCTGAGTTCAAGGTCTCATTATCTCTCATCTATATTATTACAATAGCCGCCTAATTGGTCTCCCTGACTCAAGCCTCTCCACTTCAGTTCATTTCCCACACTGCTCCCACAGATATTTTCCTTAAGCACACATATGAGCACGTCACTCCCCTCCTCTATAAAATTCAGTGGCTTCCTATTGCCTCTAGGATAAAATACGGACTCCTCAATGTGACTTTTTAAAAGTCTTTCACAATCTGAACCTAACCTATCTTTCCAGGTTCACTGTACTTTTATGCCCTACTCCTAAACTCTATGATTTAGCCAAACTGGCTGAAAGTTCCTCACAAACAGCACTCCATTTTCTATTTCCACGTCTTTGCAAGTGGCACTCACATTGTCATGAGTCTGTCATTCACTCCTTTTGCTGGGCATATAAGCTTGTCAACTAGATTAGTTCTGACTGCAAAACCTATACTACCTTCACGGCATTCCTATTTTATAGAGAACTCACATAGGACAAGTGTTCACATGGTGCTCAAAAGAAATGATACAAGGACACTCTCAAGGTCTCTCTTAAGAACTTTGGAGTTGACTATGTGACATGGGAGACACTGGCATAGGACCACCCAGCATGGCATGCCCTCATCAGACAAGGTGTTATGCTCTATGAGCAAAGCAGAACTGAAGTAACTAAAAAGAAACATGAGATTTGTAAATTAAGAGAATCTACTCCAAGAGTTCACATAGACTATTTGTAACTGACCTGTGGTAGAGTCTTCTAAGCTCATATTGGTCAGTTGGATGCCCTGTAACTTCACTCTAACATAATGGTGTCATTTTGGTCCTCTTTGAGAACAAAGGACAACCACCACCAACCATGTCTTTGCAACGGCTGTCTTCTATGCTTGAAAATTAGTTCAAATATAGAACTCTTCCTCAACTAGTTTATATTCATCAGTTTATTGAACACTGCACTATTTATTAAGTTCAACCACTTATTTTTGCATACCTAGTATGCTTCACTGACCTTCTTTTCTATTTTTTAATAAATAGTAAAAAGTTTTGATGATTTCATAATGTAATTTGAGGTCTAGAAGCTCCATTCCCTTTTCCATCCTTTTGTATAGCTCTATAAAGTACCTGACTTCAACTCCTGGCGATTTTATTTATTTAACACTAAATCTATAAAATTAGTTGTCATCTTTGCTAAGCTTCATGCAGGCGAAACCCTATTTATTCTCATTTCCATTTTCATATGATTTGTGTTTTGGAGAATGTTTTCATGTGGTCATTTACATCTAGCAGATCTTCTATTGAAAACTTTCATTCCAATCCCTTCACCACTTATCTACTGAGAAATATGAATGCCTTTTTCAAGAAGAGAGTCAGAAAGCAATGGATGTAACTAACAATGACCACAAAACCAATGTTGTTCACATCTTAAACAGAAAGTAACTATTTAAAAAAAAAAAAAAAAGAAAAAGAAAAGAAAAAGAAAAAGAAAGTAACTATTACTGATGTACTTACTCAAGTAGTTACTGACTTGGGGGATCCTTTACAAATTAGTTATCTATATATTAGGGTTATCATTTCAATGGAACAAGGTTTAAAAACAAAATTAGAAAAAAAAAAGGATAAAGGCAAGAAAGCAACGGAGCATGCAACCTCCCACTGTCTTCTCCAAACAAGCTACTGATGCTGGAAAAGAAGGAAAATGTATAAAAGTAAAGATAAATCACCATTTCCTACAGAAGCTTAATCCAAGGAAAGCAATCACCACAATGAGAAGTTCAAACAGGCTCTGAACCTGCCTGTGCTAGCAAACACTTGCTTTTGCAGAGTGGAGATGACCAGCAGGACGAGGCATAGCCAGTTTAAGACTAAAGATCAGAAGTCCAGCTAGACAATATCAAATACATATAGATCTCCAGAATGGAGGTCATCCAGTTTTGAAAGAATGAAAAGAATGTTTTTCAAGATATCTAAAAGAAGGGAAGATAGGAAAAAATAACTGATGTACAAAAAAAAAATGACAGGAAGGACCTCAATCATTCTAGAGCCACAAGTCTGCTTTTTAAAGTTCTATCAATATACATGTATAACCTATATCAGATTGCGTGCTGCCTTGGGAAGGGAAGCGAGGGAGA